AAAAAAAAAAAAAAAAAGAGCTATGGACAGACTGCAGAGGGTTGCTGAGAGTTCTGTGTAGAGAAGGGCCCCTGCTCTGGGAAGGACTTTTGATGTCAGGTTCCATCTTGATGGAAGACTAAGAGCCGTTCAGGAAGATGAGTGGGCGAGGGATTGCTAATGGAGGAGCAGATTTTAAGCAGGGGAGCATGACTGAAAACAGCTGTAGAAAACAGCCCATGTCAGTCTTAAAGGTGGGCCACTGTCAGGGGGTGGAGGGGAAGACCAGAGGCAGGGAGACGGGCCGGAAGGCTGCTTGGGCCTCAGTGAGAAGGGCAGGAGCCTCCACCGAGGCCGTGACAGAGCCGGGGAGGAGCTACGAGGCGTTTAGGCAGAACCGCTAGCAGAAGGGGCCATCGAATAGGACGGTGGTCATCAAGAGGGAAATGAAGATGACTCAGACACGTGTCCCAGTATTTTCACGGTCTTGTGGGAGGCGAAGGACATGTTGAGGGTGATTCAGGTGGAAAACCCTGAGAAAAGAATAGGTAAAGTGCTAACTCCTGTTGGCCCCCAAGAGCACGTGAGAACACAGGCATCTCTTTCCAAGCGGTTTACTTTTTCGAGGTGGGATAAATAGGTGGCCAGTCCACGGCTAAGAGTCCCTGTTCAGCAACTAAAATAACTCGTTATCATGTTGGTATCTAAGTAACAGAATCGTGGAGATGATCCAGTACATTTCCTAATTTCAGTTCCTTTTTTCTTCTTTACTTGGCTCATCCCATACTCCCAAGCATTCTCATAGCTAGAGCTCTTTATGAGACCTATATCATCATGCAATAGCATGATCTGTTATGTATATAGCAGTATCATAGGTTACATCATTACCTCGAGCAAGCTGACACAAGGCGTGTGAGTCCGGGAGGATGTGATGGAGTCCAGAAGGAAAACCACACCCCTCAGTCGCCCCCTCCCTGAAGCATCAGCAGACCTTGTTGCCCAGCTGGAGCGGCACGCCTAGTTACGTAGCCTGGCAGCCAGCTCTTTGGCCCAGGGAAACAGTAAAATGATCTCCCTTCCCAAGAATGGTAACTATCACCATCTCTTCATTATGCTTCTGTAGTAGTAACTCCTTGGCTATCTCCAGGCCAGTGTAGTGTCAGTGCAGTGAGTTTCCAGGATCCTGGGCCCAATCGTTTAGTTTTCTCTGATGTGGGAAAACCAGAAAATCTCCTCAGCATCCCTCTGTGCTCAGGGAAGCCTGGTGCTAGGGGAGCGCCTCTTGAGTTGCCCTTTGGTTCACCAGCAAAGTTGCAAAGCAGTATTCTTGCAGTCTTGGAATTAATTGTGCTAAGCAAGGAGAGTGTGTGTGTGTAAGTGAATGAAGCATGTGTTAACCATGAGCCTTCTTGTCTTATATGGTTAAATTCACATGGATATGATTTTCTTGTCCTGCAACTTGCTCTGACAATTCTTCGGATACACTTGGTTCCTGAGGAAGTGTTGGTTTCCAGAGCAGGAACTGATATGTATTTCAGAATGGCTGACAAATTGGGGGTAGATAAAAAAGTGTATTAAATGTCTTTAAAGAGAGAGTTTATAGTACTTTATAAAAGTCTCTTTCACAGGGGCGCCTGGCAGGCTCAGTTGGAAGAGCCTGTGACTCTAGATCTCAGTGTCATCAGTTTGAGCCCCACATTGGGCACGGAGATTACCTAAAAACAAACAAACAAACAAAACCCAGAACAAGATGTATCTTTCGCATAGGGTATCATTCCTTCAGTTGGTAGAGCCCAGAGCTAGAACCTGGCACTTGAAAGCGAGTCTGCCCAGTCACTAGCATTGCTGGGCACCAGGCCTAGGACACCCAGCGGAGACCCGGACCATTTCTGTGCTGCCCGCTGAGTGAGTTGTCTCTGTGTGTAGATAATGAACCTGCTGAAGAAGTTATCCAGTCCAACATTCTCCTGCATTCCAACATCGCCAGCCTCGTCAAAGACCAGGTGGTTCTAAATATGGACTCCGGAGACTCTGAAGTGGTCAATGGACTTATTTTCCAGCATATCACCCTCCTCATGTGCTCGGCTTATAAGAACCAGTTGCTCAACATTTTCGTCCGCCCTTCCTTGGTAGCTATGGCACTACAGATGACCCCTGGGTTCCGGAAAGGTAACTTTCGGGAAGGTGGTCTTGAACTTTGGAAGAGACCCGGACATTCAGTTCCGTATAGGGAGCAACACTTGAAGCCGTATAATGCTCAGCCACATGTGTGTACCCCAGACAGCAGCCAAGAAGGGGGCCTGTACACCCTGAAGAAGTTAGGTTGGTGCCCCCGATACATGGCCTTCTGCTTCAAATTTGGGAATGGAAAGGGACCTAAGAAATTACCCTAAACCTCTCCTTTTATAAATAAGGGAAGTAAGGCCTGGCAAGTTACGTAATTCCCTAAGCAGGGGTCTGGGCCTAGAGCACAGCTCTCCATCTCCTGGCCTGAGGCCCTTTCTCCCTCGTCTGACAGCACCAGGCGGGGTGGGTAAACAGTCCAGCAGTGCAGGAGTGCCTTCTAGATCCACAGTCAGTCGTGTTCTAGTGGCAGTGAGGAGCGGAACAATGAACAACACCATTTTGTTCCCAGGAACCTGTCGTCAAAGTCAGGGGTGTTCTACCCGGGCTCTGCTGGAGTTACTGGAGGGTGACCCCCACCCCCAAAGGTGCTGATTCAACTGGTCTAGAGTGTGGGCCGGACACTGATGCTCTTGTTTTTGTTTTTCAAAGCTCCATAGGCAATTCTAAGGAAAAGTCAGACTTAGACCTTTAGCCTTGGAAGGAACCTTACGTCTGTGTCCGTGTCCTCATTTGTGAATGAGGAAACGGGCCTGGAGAAGTCAGTTTAGTTCAAGACACCGAACACTCAAATCTTGGTCTTAGTTCTGAGGTTTCTTACATCAGAGTTCATTCACAACTAAGGGGTACGTGCGTGGTCTTCTAGAGTGTTGGGACCGCCCTGAAATTGGAGGCAACACTTCATGTCCTCACATCTGTGTATCTTCTAATGAGAAAGTTCATAGCATGTGTCAGAAAAATGAAGAAACCTCTATAGTTAATGGACAAGGGAGACCTATGTGTCTGGAGAATGAGACAGTATTTTCTGTTGTGTGCTGGTGTATCGTAGTGCTAAAGATACGGTAAAGACAACAGGAAGTAGGACTAGAGAAGGGATTGAAGTAATTCATTCCTTCTCTACTAGGGAGCCCTGGGCAGGGGAACATGAAGCACCCTAGCTTTTAAGAAATGTAGCCTCTCGCTCATCAGCACACTGACTGGGTAGAGGCCTGCTTGTGATTCAGATTCAACTGTTGGCACTGCTAAACTATAAAATTTGGAATGCCAAATAGCTTCCTTTGGGGGCCTGAATTCTCGTCCTGGCATTGAATAATATGCCTTTGGAGTTAAGTGCATTTTGGAGAGTCGTGGACTTCTTGGTACTTCCTGAAAGTTTAAAAACCAGCATTGTAATTGGATGTAATTAATTTATTTCCAGAGGATGTCTACAGTTGCTTTCACTTCCTGCTCAGTGTTTTTTCAGATGAGTTCATCTTCCTTCCGGGAAACGCACTAAAGGTAAATCTTTACAGCCAAAGAGCACAAGTGTGTTCACAGTGTGAGTTCTGGATGTGGTAGGCTTGGATTCACGCCTGTGACTTCCCTTTCTCCAAGGCTACACGCAGCAGAAATAATGAGACTCTTGGACACTCACAGTTCTATGAGCTCTATTTTGATTCTTGGTCAAGTTTAATCAATAAGGTAGGGATTATTTGGCAAGAAGAGAGTCATTCTTTAAACCTTGAGTGCAGCCATTGTAAATAAATCAACACTGTTTTGTTAAAAATTTACCAACCGGTACACATTTTCTTGTTAACAACTTGTTGGAATGTGTCAGACCGTTTGCTTGGAGATTAGAAAGCAATGGTCTTGCCTGATGGCATAGACAGTTTGTGAGGGATAGAGCCCCCAGAGCTGGACCGCCGGTTAGCTGGGGCGGGGGGTGTACCAGGATAGACAGAAGGTGGTCAGGTTTCTGTACGCTGTGCCAAGGAGCCCAGGTTTTACTCCGTTGAGAATGAGGTCAGCAGTTTTCTGAGCATAAGCATAATTCCACATATTTTTAGGACCTGCTATATGCACTTCCTATTTAAATTTAAGGAATGTGGCTGTGCAAAGTGAGAAAATCCGCCACCCGGGTCATGATTTCTAAGGCTTATGAGTCTTTTGTGTATTTGCTGTGTTTGGGGTTCAACATTTTGAGGATTGGAACACGTGCTTCTCTGGCTGCTAACAACCAGAACCTTCTGGAAGGATTGTGGAATTAGCTGGTGTTCTCTCGTTCTGAGGGCACATGGCTGCGTTTACTGAGACCAGCAGCGTACCCATTAACCTAAATTAGTGTATGCTCCCTGTCTTCTCCCCTCCCTTCCCAGGACTTTGAAGAAGGCTGTTACCTGCTTTGTAAAAATGAGACAATACAAGTGACGACAAGGGATATCCTAGTTACGGAGAAAGGAAATACCGTGGTAGAATTTTTAATAGGTCTCTTTAAACCTTTTGTGGAATGTTATCAGGTATGTAACTCTTTTGCAAGTTCTCCTTCATCCTCCCGTATCCAGTATAACTAAGACCTCCCACCCTGTGCTTGCTTCTGGTCCGAAGGGCAAGTGTCTTCCCCAGGTGAATGGTGCAACTAGAGAGATTGCTCAATAGGATGAAAGATTCACCTCTCAGGTGGAGACCTTGCTCCCCTAGAGGGGTCCCTTACAGACCCGAGAGGGTAACAGCTTCAGGATGCCCAGAACCACACTTAGACCCGAGCGCCGTCATGCTGTACCTTACGGCTCTTCTCATAGCTCGGCGTTTGATACATTGCGGGCACTTGGTGAATGCAAGATTGGAATGATATGTCATGTCAGTGATATGTATCACTAAAGGCTAATGGAAGGGGAAGAAAAGGTTCAAGTGCAAGTATCCGAGTTTGTCAGAGCTCTAAGAAGTGGTTAAACAGGGCGCCTGGGTGGCTCAGTCGTTAAGCGTCTGCCTTCGGCTCAGGTCATGATCCCAGGGTCCTGGGATCGAGTCCCACATCGGGTTCCCTCCTCGGCGGGAATCCTGCTTCTCCCTCTCCCCCTCCCCCTGCTTGTGTTCCTGCTCTCGCTATCTCTGTCTCTGTCAAATAAATAAATAAAATCTTTAAAAAAAAAAAAAAAAAAGAAGTGGTTAAACAGAGGGGACAGTAAAGATGCCCAGCCGGAATGGTGCCAGGATTCAAAGGGACAGGGGAGTCTGCAGTGGAACCCCTCAGAGGGGCCGTACATATTTGCCAGAAGAGGACTCTGGCTCTGGCTCTGAGTGTGGGTTAGCGGCCCCCCGGGACCGACGTCCTGGCAGGGGGTGCTCTGACCGATGACAGAGCCCCTGTGCCAAGTCCAGCACTGAGTGGGTATCTGAGAAATGCTCCTTCTGCCCATAAGCACCTTTCTGTGGTACAAGTCATCAAGCATCTGGGAGCCTAACAAACTCTTAGGTGTTTTTAGGGAGAAAGCAGTTACACAAAATCTGGCCCCTCTCTTCCTAAGCAGCGTAAGATCTGTTAAGCTGATGGTAATTCACTCAACTTGCAACCCGTTCAAGTGAGAAAATGTATTTTAATAAATGTCGATACTACTTCAGACTGTTTTTTTCTGATTATAAGCAGTGATACAAGGTCCAGAGGGACCTCCTAAGAATTCTGTAGCTTTTCTGTACAAACCTTGGAGAGTCTTTATTCTGCTCTGACATCATGTAGCTTTCTGTCAAGGGGGGGCCAGGTCACATCAGTCGCTGCTGCAGTGTATTTGGCTGCCTTTTTCTCTTTCTGTTCCCCTCACCCTTTCTGTTAAAATCAGATAATTTGCAAATACCTCTTGAATGAAGAAGAAGACTACTTCACTGAGAAACAGTACTTGGCTGGAGTTCGAAAATTCACCAGTCAGCTTCTTGATCAAGGTTAGTCAAACCTCTGCGTGTGGTGACTTTTTGTAGTTGGGAACAAAAAGGAGTCCTCTGACTCTTTCTCCCTGTGTCGTAGGTACCTCGCAGTGTTACGATGTCTTGTCTTGCGACATACAGAAAAATGCCTTAGCAGCTTTTGTGAGGCTAGGTGTGGTAGAGAAGAAGAAAGTGTAAGTACTGTGCACGGGGCTGGAAGGGCAGTGACCGCTAAGGGTCGCTGAGCACCGAATGCAGACAAAGTCCCCAAAACAGGATATCGTGCTTCATTCATCCATCTCCTGATGAGTTATGTCAGCAGGAGTTACTGTGCAAATTTTATGTAGTTACAAATGAAAATGGTATTGAAGCAAAGAAAGAAAGAATTTTAGGCTAGCATTTTGGCCTTGACCTAATATTGAAATGTATAGGTGACTTATAAGAAAGATTTTTGGGGAGTGTAATAGAGTGTGTGTGTGTGTGTGTGTACACTTATATATACACACAAACATACGCGTATGATACATAAAGACACACATATGTGTATGTGCAGATAGCTGTTTCCTCTTCTGAATGAATGAATGTAAGAGTGACCAGGCTTCATGGGGAGAGTCTTGTAGTATGTCTCTCATGTCATCAGAAGGATGAAGCATGAAGCCAGCAAGTAGGGCAGGAGCAACGGGCTTGTCAACTACTTAAAGACTTGGCCTTGACGAACACTATCGAGAAGTAGTCTTGGAGCACCTGGCTGGCTCAGTTGGTAGAACCTGAAACTCGAGATTGCAAATAAATAAACAAACAAACAAACTTGAAAAGAAAAGTAGTCTTGGGACGCCTGGGTGGCTCCGTCGGTGAAGCGTCTGCCTTCAGCTCAGGTCATGATACCAGAGTCCTGGGATCAAGTCCCGCATCGGGCTCCCTGCTCAGTGGGGAGCCTGCTTCTCCCTCTGCCTCTGCCACTCCCCCTGCTTGTGCTCTCTCTCTCTCTGTCTCCCTCTTTCTGTCAAATAAATAAAATCTTTTAAAAAAAAGAAAAGAAAAGTAGTCTTACTGTATAAATAATGAACATTGGCTTCCCCTACCCAAGTTTATGTAATAAGAACTTTTTGCTTTTTTTCCTAGAAATAGTGACAGTGCATTTAATGTGAACGAACCTGCCATGACAAAATTAGAAGAAATGCTTGGTAAGTACAGTTTAGTGACACGTGATGGGTTTTTACATTGTATTTATCACCATACAGTAAAACAAGAAAGTATACTATGGCACCAAATACTTTATCAAAATGAACAACAGAGTTTTAATATAAACAGAACTATTTATATATCTAGGTTTTTCTCAAGGAAAGTAAGGAGAAAGTGCAGAGAAAATACAACAAGCAGAACATGGTCAGTCTTCTACAAGATAATTACCAGCGTCTAGCATAACTAATTAGGGTCTGAGATCTGGACCCTTCACATCCAGTCTTGGTGGACATGGAGAAAATACCTCTTATCTGAGTCCTCGGATCTATTCTCTTCCTCTCTACTGTTGGATCCCTGGCAAAGGGTTGGGATCAGTGTTCACAGCATATACTTTCTGAACTCAGAATTGGGGGTAATAGCATTCCTTGGGAGAATAATCCAACCCTTACTCTTCTCCAGACGCCATCAGCTTATCAACAGATAGTCTAGCCCAGAAAGGTCATTTGTTTGCAGTATGAAGAGAGAGTCAAGAGTGTGGATATAGGGAAAGAGATCTAAGAGGGCAGAGGAAGTAGCAAGTATTTCTTTTAGGAATGATGGGGTAGTTTTAGAAGGGGAGGGGGTCAGTGTTTGGGGAAAAAAAAGTTATCTGCTGATGATATTGAACAAGCACTGCATTGTCGAGTGGATATTCTTGTAAGTAGTATTCTCGTACCTAACCCTAATTCAGCACATTTGTCAAACCTGCATGGAAGAGCTTCAGGTAGGTATCTGGTGGGATGAGGGGAAACCAAATGGTAAAGGAGAATGGTTGAAGAGAAAGGGTAGAAGGCAAAGGAATGGTTGACCTCCGTAGGGAAGGTGGAATACTAGTTTCTTGTTGAAGAAAATATGAGGGTTGAAATCCCAGTCTTCTGTCTGAAATCTCAGAATATGTACCGTTGAAACTCGATTTTGAGTTTGGTAAGAGGGGCATATAGTTGAAACAACGCCTAAAGCCCTCGTTCTGTGAGGAATTGCTTTCTTAATCAGTTTGCGGGTGGCCAATATAACATGGGTGTGAACGTACTAGAACATACTGGACCGGAAGTCCCGACAGCAGACTGGGTTCTGATCCTGGCTCTGCCCTGGGCTGTAAGGGGTGCAGGGGGTGGGGGCCGCTGCTGCTTCCCCTGCAGAGGGGCAGGTATCTCCATCAGTGCTCTGTCAGCCTGTGAAACCACACAAGGCTTAAACAACTGCATGAGGAGATGACTCAAGGTCATTTCATGGGCTGTCTTTTTTTTTCTTAGGTTGTAAGACACCAGTAGGAAAGCCAGCGACTGCAAAACTTTAATATTGCCGAACAGTTACAGGAAATTTGGTCACATAATTGCTGTCATCCAAGAACTCTTACTCCAACAAACAGGGCCATGAAGGAAGAGAGCCACCTGCTCGTGCTTCGTACGACAGGAGAGCCGTGGGCTCGGCAGAGAGGAGGAGGTGACCAGTGTACGTAGTCAGTGTAACCCTCTCCACCACAACAGTTACAAAGGCTTTCGTGTCCAACTGTGTGTGTGTTAAAATAAAACGGTCTTTTGGAAACATGTTTGGAAAAACAAAGCCCAGTCCTATTTCTTTCTTTCTTTTTTTTTTTTTTCAAGATTTTATTTATTTTTCTGACAGAGAGAGACAGCGAGAGAGGGAACACAAGCAGGGGGAGTGGGAGAGGGAGAAGCAGGCTCCCCGCGGAGCTCCCCCAGGATGCTGGGACCATGACCTGAGCCGAAGGCAGACGCTTAACGACTGAGCTACCCAGGTGCCCCAGCCCAGTCCTACTTCACTAACACTTTTCAACTGACTATCACATGTATTAAACTTTTATGCCGATTCGTGAGTGAGTGGGACGTGGACACTGAAGGCGTGGCTGTCAGAAGCAACCCGCCGTGAGCACACACCTCCGTTTCTCGTGGCTGTCCTTCCATCCGGTGGCCTCAAACAAGTAAGTTTGGCAGAGTTGTGTAATAACTTAGCTAGCTTATGAAAAAGTTTGCCACCCAAGGGCCTGATCGCTACAAGTGCTTTAGAGAAAGTACATGCAACAAAGAGAAGTGATAGGCTTAAGGAAAAAAAATGGGCCTAAGAATTCGGGAGAAGAGGGGGCGTCTGGCTGGCTCAGTCAGTAGAGCGTGTGACTCTTGATCCCACTGTCTTGAGTTCAAGCCCACGTAGGGTGTAGAGATTACTTTAGATAAACTGTCGGGGCACCCGGGTGGCTCAGTCAGTTAAGCGTCTGCCTTCGGCTCAGGTCATGATCCCAGGGTCCTGGGATCGAGTCCTGCGTTGGGTTCCCCACTCAACAGGGATTCTGCTTGTCCTTCTCCTCTGCCCTTCCGCCCTGCTTGTGCTTGCTCACTCTCTCAAATAAATAATCTTTTAAAAAATGCAAATAAACCTTAACAAATTTTCCGAAGAAAAGTTTGAAATAAGATGGGTGAACACCAAAAATTGTGACAGCCACCTCTGGAAGTGATATGTAAGTCGAGCATTAAGATGAGTAGGTGCCAGCCCTCCAAGCGTGAGAGTAGGGGTCGGGGGGCAAGGTGTGCAGAGAATAGAGATCACAATGTCCTGGGGCTGGTTCTGGAGTACCTGAAAGACCAGCATGGCTGAAGCAAGAGTCACGGCAATGAAATTAAAAAGAAAGGCAGGGGTAGTAGTCTGCTTGGGCCGCCATTATGAAATACCAGACAGGGGTGGCTTACACAGCAGAAGTTTCTTTCCTCACAGTTCCGGAGGCTACAGGTCCCCAGATCAAGGTGCCAACAGGGTAGGGTTCATTCTCAGGCCTCTCTCTGGGCTTGTAGGAGGCTGCCGTCTTGCTGTGAGCTCCCACAGTGGCCCTGCCTCATTACTCCACTTTCCCCAGAGGCTCCATCTCCACAGTGAGGCTGGGGGAGGGTGGTTAGGGCTGCAAGATGAGAATTTGGGGGGCCACAAGTCAGTCCATAGCAACAGGGCCAACACGGATGGGGGCTTAGGGACTCTCGGAAAACATTCGGCCTGGAATATAAGTGCCGCGGAAAATGTTGGGAGGTTTCGGCGCGTGGTGCCAGGACGGGCTGTGTCCAGAGTGGTGGACTGTGCGCTGGTTTTGCAGAGGCCAGGCTCTTTCTGCTGTTCACGCCGATGGTGGAGAGCCACGGCGCTAGTCCGCGCCCCAGTGCCGGAGGGACTCCCGCGCGGCTCTGCTTGTTTGGGAAGCCGGAGATTCACGTGTGTTGGTACGAAGAGTGGAGGAGTCCCTGGCAAAGGAGTTCGCGGCATGCCAGCCACACAGCAGGGGCACTAAGCTGCCGCCGCCCAGGGAGAGCGTGTGAGTCCAGGGCAGCTGTGAGCCTGGGCCCCGGGCCAGGCTTTGCTGAGTAGGTGTGCCTTCGACAGAATCGCCATGCACCCAATTTCGCTTACTTGGTTTTCTCCGTGACATTCACACTGTGCATATAAAGGTTGAAGGCGGGGTACGATGACTTGTTTACATTGAATACACTTCAAATCTGGGGGCAAAGCCTAGAGTTCTGGGTGCCCGTGCCTGTCAGCTTCTCTCCTGGCCAGCTCTGACATCAGAGCCAGCAAAGTAAAGGGGCAGAAAGGCGGGGTGCAGCCAAAACCGAATGAGGCCGTGGAACAGAGGCTGCTGTAAGAAATGGACCCCTGTCTCTTCAAACTCTCTCAAGTAACTCAAGGAAACCTAACGTCTTAGAAGATAGCATGCTTCCTATGCTAATGCACTTTCAAAGCACGTATCCTGTGCCCTACCCCATGCCTGTTCCCCATCCTGTACCCCCACACATGCCCCTGCACACAGCCAGAGTTTTAAACCACACGGCTGTCCCTCCGCCCCTCCACTCCCGCCTATCTAAAAATTCTGAAGCCGCCACTGCCTTGAAGTAAGTAAAAAGGCCCATAGCAGGTGGCTTTCCAAGAAAGTCTCCTATCCAAACACAGGATAGTGTAGCAGCTAAAAATGCAAGGCCTGGGGCCCAGCTGGGTTTGAAGTCCAGCTCTGCCCTGTGTTCTTGTGTGATTTATTTATACTCAAAGCCTCAGGCTCCTTATCCATACAATAAGGATGATGATAATCCCTCTTGGGCTGTGAGAAATAGGAATGCCCACGGGCGGCGCGTGGCTGGCTCAGTCCGTAGAGCAGGCGACTCTTGATCTCGGGGTCCTGAGGTCAAGCCCCATGTTGGGCATAAAGCTTACGTAGAAAAGAAAAAAAAAAAAGAAATAGGAATGTCGGTAAAATATTTGAAACTGTCTTGGGCAATAAGCGTAATCCGTTACTACTGCGACTGACAGGGACAAACCCTAGTTGGCTTCTCAGAGAAGACGAGATTGGGTGCTTTCCAGTGGGTTCCTGTGGGCTTAGGTGCTTGCATCCTTGACCTACAACCTTGAGAGCCTGACTCCGCCCAGCTGCTCCGCCCAACAGCATTATGCTGCCATGCATAACTCAGTACCTCACCCAGACACCTGCCATACCCCAAGTATGGCTAAGCCATGGTAGAAACCACAACTTTTCCCTCCATCTCTATTTCCACTAACAGAACGGGAACATTCAATTTGGGGTAGAAAATAGATATTGATGCCTTGTTTGACTTTGTTCATAGCTTCACTCATTTTCCTAAATTAAAATTACCAACTCTGACAGAAAGTACAAATCTCCCATCGATAGATTCAAGTGTCATTTTTTTCTAGAACCCACTCTGGGCCTGCTACACCACTGTCAACTGGGGATTTCCCATCACTGTCCTCTTGGCAATTCCCTTCACTTTTCTGTGTTGGATTCCCCTCCTTGGGTCCCATTTCTTCCTTTTTGATTGTTTATCAATTCTAGTGAAGTCCGGTCTTCCACTGTAAGAAGGTTTAATGCTTTAGACCTCACCTGTGTAAAAATGTCTTCTTTCCACCCATAGTTGCCTGATGATTTAGCTGGGTGAATTCTAAGTTAGAAATAATTTTCCCTGAGAATTTCGAAAAGCATCTCTCCATTCTCTTCTAGTTTCTAAAGTTATTCTTCTCAAGTCAAAAGAGCGTTCTGATTCCTGAACACAACCTATTTATAGGCCTTCTCAGAAAGTCTTTAGGATCTCTTTTCTATAGTTTCTGAAATTTCGGGTGATGTGTTTGTTGTCAGTGTTTTATGTTTTGTTTTCTGTGGCTTCAACAAATATATGATCTCAGAGTTGATGAGGTCAGAAGTCTGAAAGGAATCTCATTGGGCTAAAATCAAGGTGTCAGCTTGATCAGGAGGCTCGAGTGGGAGAATCTGTTTCCTTGCCCTTCCCAGCTCCTAGACCCTGCCCTCCTTCCTTGGCTCGGGTCTCCTTCCAATCCAGCAATGTCGGCTGGAGTCCTCATTCTGGATCTTCCTGGTTTTCTGTCTTTCTCTTCCACTTTTTTTTTTTTTTAAGTAAGATGTAACTGACATAACATTATATTAGTTTCAGGTGTACAACATAATGATTTGATATCGGTATATATTGCAAAATGATCACCACAATAAGTCTAGTTAATCTGTCACCATACAGTTACAAAAAAATTTTTTCTCGGGCGCCTGGGTGGCTCAGTTGGTTGGGCGACTGCCTTCGGCTCAGGTCATGATCCTGGAGTCCCGGGATCGAGTCCCGCATCGGGCTCCCTGCTCGGCGGGAAGCCTGCTTCTCCCTCTCCCACTCCCCCTGCTTGTGTTCCCTCTCTCGCTGTGTCTCTCTCTCTGTCCAAATAAATGAGTAAAATCTTTTAAAAAAATAAATAAATAAAATAAAATATGCAATGCAGGGGTGCCTGGGTGGCTCAGTCATTAAGCGTCTGCCTTCGGCTCGGGTCATGATCCCAGGGTCCTGGGATCGAGCCCCGCATCGGGCTCCCTGCTCCATAGGAAGCTGCTTCTCCCTCTCCCACTCCCCCTGCTTGTGTTCCCTCTCTCGCTGTGTCTCTCTCTCTGTCCAAATAAATGAGTAAAATCTTTTAAAAAAATAAATAAATAAAATAAAATATGCAATGCAGTATTAACCATAGTTACCATGCTGTGTATTACATCTTCATGACATTCATTTTGGAACTGGAAATGTACACCTTTTGGCTGCTTTCAGCCATTTCGCCCATTGCCAAGCCCTCTCCAGACAACCACCAACCTCTTCTCTAGATCCATTGAACTTGGTTTTTTGTTGGGTTTTTTTGGTTGGGGGGGGTTGTTTTCTTCAGTTCCACATATTAATGAGATCATAGAGTATTTATCTTTTTCTGTCTGCCTTATTTCATTTAGCATAACACCCTCAAGTTCTATCCATGCTGTTGCAAATGCAAGGTTTCCTTTTTTTTAATGGCTTATGTGTGTGTGTATGTACCACAACTTTTTTATCCATTCATGAATGGACACTTAGGTTGCTTCCATGTCTTGGCCATTGTAAATTATGCTGCAGTGAACATGGGGGTCCAGATGTCTTCTCAAGTTACTGTTTTCATTTCTTTCAGATAAATCCCCGTAAGTGGAATTACTGGGTCGTAGGGTAGCTCTATTTTTAATATTTTGAGGAACCTCCATACCGTCTTCCACA